ACAGTTTTGGAATAGGTAGAAAGAAAAAAACCTCGTCGGCGTGCTTCTTCTCTGGCCTTACATAGAGTGAGGCCTAGTTTGAATCTCAGTTTCGAGCATGTAAGTTCTCATAAAATGCATCATTGGAGTCACCACAATTGGCACATATGCGTGGTTGAGCAGAGCAGTTGAACGGCCATGATCAGGTTAGGCACATAGAGGGCAGCGGGCTGTGGCGCATCAGTGTTTGATTGGGAGGCCAAAACGCCAACATTTCTGACATTTTCGGGGAAGAGGACAGGGCAAGACACTCCACCAATATAAACCTCATGTCTACGGAAGATGATCTTGGCAATATAGGGGTAGGACTTACATTGGCCTCGTGGAGGAATAGTGTAGCACTGGACTGCTACAGCATCATAGCCGACAAGGCATGCGAGCAAATCGTTTTCACAGTTTGCTCAGTCCTTGTAGATAGGAGAATCAGTCGGGGAGACGGAAACAGTTCCGGTACAAGTATTAAGAGAGGAGTGAGGTTGGGAAGGAACAGGTTTGCCAGTGAGGTCAGTCAGGTTAGATAGTGCACGAGCTTGGGACTCAGATGTAACTTTGACAAGGCGTGAACGATCGGAACGACTGCGAAAGGAAACTTTGCGTACTTGTTTTGGGGACATTATTGCCAGAGTTTGGGGGTGCAGTGGGGAATTACAAAGAAGTTATCCCATTTGGCTGGGCCAAAAAGGGTTCTCAAAAAGACGAAGGCGGGAGGAAGAAGGGATGGTATGGAGAGAGATAGTACTGTTGGGAGGAGAACAATAAGGATGAAGAGTAGTAATAAGGGGGATGAGGTGGACAATGAAGAAGTCTTTGCAGTAGAAGATGGGGTGGATGATGTTGGGAGAGAGGGAGGGGTGTATTCTGAAGGTTGAGTAATGACCTGGGTGGAGGATTCCGAATGGAGAGTCGACAGCAAACAATGAGGAGTGGTCGGAGCCGATCTCAGAGGAGAGGCAGGGGTCGGGAAACCAGAGAAGTCATATTTATATAGGCTAGTTGATGAAGGGACAAACCTTAATGCCCCTAATAAGGATAAAAATCTTCATTATTGGCCGTGGTGAGCCTGAAATAGATGGGGAGAAGAAACGCATGAGGTATGAGGTAAAGGCCAGACGATTAACCAAGGGAATATCGTGCCCATGGCTCCCGGAGGCTGTTCAGGACTGGCAGCCAGCCTTTCATCCTTTTAACACGGCGCTCGCATTTTAGGAAGTGGGCATAGGAAGGGGATGAAGAAGAGAAGAAAAAGGAAAGGAAGAGAATAAAAGACCATGCAAATTTAGTTGAGACGATGGCTGAGGTAGGGGTGATCACCGACATTGGGCCCAAGTCTCCGTCTCCTAAGGCCCCCACGACAACAACGAGCAAGGGATTAGGTGGCCTCTACTCTCAAGGAAACTGAAAGATGGTTGTCCTCTCAAAGGACGGGCTAGGCCACAATAATGGTCACCATCTTTGGGGCTAGTAAAGCTATTTGATGTAGACTTCAACCTTTCATAGCAGAGGTAGCTCCGGTTGATAACCTTTTGATAATATTGAGACTGGAGATCTCTTCTGGCTTTGTCTCTTACTGCTGTGTACACTACACCGAATTTGCTTCCGTGGCATTTTACTTGGTGATTTCAAGGTGGTATTTGGCTGTGATCAAGCAAGCTGTGAGAAGTTTGTCAGTTCATTACTGAGGAACTGATACCTTTAGTGAAGAGCCCCATTCTCTGGGACTTTGTAAGGCCTGCATTACTGGACCTGATACAGCAATGCAGGTAATGCAGCTACATAGATCAGCTTCAACACCTAGCTAAAGCCCAGAAAGTATTCCCTTAGACAGACTGAGAGGGCAGTGGTGTGTTCAGGGGGTTGCCATCACCATCTCATATCGCATCACAACCTGATAGATCCTGTAACACTGAGAGGCATGTTCAAACATGAAATACTTGATGAAGCACTGGAGTGTACTGGTGAATATGGGAAAACTGTATCTCACGAGTGACACTAGAGATCTCGGTGAATGACACTCATCTGGACTTCCAAGCCCAGATAAATAGTTAATGGTTAGAAATAAATGTGCTAGACATCAAAGCACATATAGCACTATGGTAAAGTACTGTGGTGAAAAGGGAGGAAATGAGTTGACAATTAGTATAAGCTGTTAAAAGTCAAAGGTTGTAAGCCTAGTGAAAGCTGAACAGACCATCTTACATCATGTTAGGGTGTAAACACCTGACAAGTATTTTGAGCAGCTGTATTAGGGCTGGTGTCCTGATCTTTCAAAGAACTGATACTTATGTGAAATTATCAAATTCTTATTTTTATATATCAAAGACACTGCCCCCCCCCAAAAAAAAAAAAAAAAAAAAAACATATATATGTACAAACCCTAAATTTAGCAATTTTCCTTGAATTTCTATTTGCTTTGTGCTTGTGTAGAATCTGATAGTTACTGACAGGGCAGAGATGAAACACATTTTTTTTTTAAATAAGATTTATGATCTAACAATCCCATATAAAAGAGTTTTCCAATGAATTCCAAAGATCTTAAAAGGTAAGAAAGCAACAAAGGCACAAGATATAAAAACTCCAATATACTTAACAAATAAAGGAGTTTATAAGGCACCCATATATATTGTACAGTAAACACATCCAAAAATCTATATTCCTTTTATTTCCCTCTTTATGCATTTTATTTCAACCTTCATTAAGTGGTTCCTCACTCTCCTTCTCTTGATTTTTAGTAAAGAAAAAATAGACACTCATCTTACACTATTATGCATATACCAATATATATATATGCCATAGGATGATATAAACAATTTGTAGCCTTTACAAAGATTACATTGACAGAAAAAAAATATATGAAATGAAGAATGTATTCATGATTAACCTTTTGGGGAAATGTGTGACTTGATCAGATGTCTACCAAGATAATTTCAAAGACATAGATTCTGAAATGTGTAATATTTGCTGTAATTATCGTAATTATTTTCAAAAAGAAGAAAAGAACCATTTAGCACAAAATATAAACCTAACATGTTTTGGAAAAGCTTTTTCCTCAATAAATTTCACTTCTTCATTTGAGCTACTGATTCCTGTTTCTGCTGAAAAATCTGAATGTAAATGTAGAAATTGTGTCACATAAAAAAATATATAAATAAATATCTTCCAAATGTTTTACTTACAAAATCATTAGTGCCTTGTAAAGGCATACATATTGTATACTGTATGTATTCATGTAGGCACATACACCCTTCCATACACCTATAAAACCATTTGTTATGTGTACAACCATATAACTCTGGCTAGCATGTCCCAATAGAAATCCTGGTTTACTAGTGATTGAGTTCAGTGTAATATCAAAGGTTACACATTTTCAAGATGCAGCATAGAAAAGATTCCTTACAAAAGTATGTATAAACATAATTAATATGTGCACACACACGTCTAAATATAGTCACATATGAATATAAAAGCACATTAACATTATTATTCAGCACTAAGAATAATGTCAATTGGAACATCTGTCTCTTCAATGGGTATTTCAGGAAGCACTTGTTCAATAAAAGCCAATGCAATCGTATTTGGAGGATGCTCTTGTGCAGCTCGACATTTTGCAAGATATGTGTCATAATATCCTCGTCCACGACCCATCCTGCAACAAGAAACTTTGCAAATTAGTAATAGCCTTTGAAATCTAGTCTATTATATAAGAACAAAGTGAAATATCACAGAAAATGTTCTATTAACCATTAAATCTTACAATTATTTTACCTTTCATTATTCCATTAATTTTGTATGTATGCAGACTTACAATCTGTATACTTTCATTGCACATATTTTTACATATATCCTAATAGTAATGAAAATATACCTATGTCCTGCTTTGGAGAATCCCAGGCCAGGTACGAGGATTAGATCCAGGCCCCCTGAACCCAGAGCCTGTTCCCGATCTTGGTCCAAAGGAGGCTGCTTGATCTTCCACTTGGTCATCGGCAAAGCATCGTATTCCTCCCAGGATTTGAGTCGAACCATGTCCATGTAGGTCGACTTGCTATCATATCTGAAAAAATTGCTATGTATAAAACCTAGATCTGTTTGATGTATAGAGTTACTTCAAATTCTCTTCTCTTATGCAGGGTTATTTTTGTGTTTTAGATTTTGCATTTATCTTCATACCAAAATGTCACAAACCATTCTATATTTAAACAATACTCTTAGCAGTCTTTCTCATAACTGGAATAACAAACAAACACAAATAACATTTAGTTACTAGTGATAAAGTATGAATAATAATTTCATATATTCATAGATTTGTGACGATTTGCTTAAAGCCTGAAGAAAGTATTGTATTATATGAAAAGCTTCAGGGATGAAGATTAATGCTGTTTTTACAATGCATGATTCTTCTTCTTTTGACTTCCCAAAATAGGTTATAAAAAGATGAGACAAGACAAGATTAACTGTTATTCATATGTCAAATAAGTCGAAATTTTCAACACAAACGTCACAATTGAAAAGTCCCTTAGAATTTGTCTTACAGATTCATGCACTGTTAATGTCAGGAACAAAAAAAATATATATAAAAAAAAATGAAACAAGACATATGATTAACTGTTATTTAAATGTCAAATAAGTCGAAATTTTCAACATAAAAGCCCCTTAGAATTTGTCTTAGATTCATGCACTGTTAACGTCAGGAAAAAAAAAAAAAATCACTACACCAATAAAACAGCACTCCCTACTCACCTGGGGATATAAACAGCCTTGCCAGCACCCAAAGCATCCCGCAGAATCAGATCCGTGTTAATTTCATCGTGCATACTCAAGAAAATAGACAGCCTCTTGCTCTTCTTATACAGGTCATGCTGCAGGACCTTCGTCTGCACGGCCTGCGACTGCCTGGCCTTCTCCTCATTACTCAAGCCATTCAGCTTCGCCTTTAGTTCTTGGCGTAACAGGTTCTTGGCTGT